TTTCTGTAGGTTTGTGTGAGCTTTTGGCCCAGCTGCTGCTACTCAGCTTTTCCTGTTTGATGTACAGGTTTCTGCATCCTGACCCTGTGGATCCCTTTTTATATTCAGAGATCAGCACTGTGTATTTTCTTTTAAAAATCACAATATTCCAACCAAACTCACGAAATCAGTTGATTTTTAAGCCCTGTGTTAACAGTGTATGTAAACAGAGGACTAACTTTGAGCATATGCTTAAGTTCTGTGCATCTCAACCACATGCTTAAGTGCTTTGCCAGATAAAAATAGAAGCATGATTTAACAGTAAGCCTGACTTTCCATTGTGCTATTTTAGTTTTATGCTGATTTAACTCCAGCTAACTCAGCCAGGATACAGGACTTGGTTTGGAGAAGACAGCTTTGGTCTGAAACCAAGTTATTCCAAACCTTAGAGCTGGAAGAAGTTCTTTAGGACCAAAGATTTACAAGAAAGGGTGTGAGGGCAGAGTGTCAGGCTGCTGCTTCTGGATTCATGCTACAAGTTTGAGTTTCATGCTGGAATTGCACAACACCCAGATACAAGTGGGTGTCTGGCCATACTGACTAAGTTAAAAGCATCCAGATGTGTATTTTTCGGCTATGGAAACTTTTGTGCTTTAAATGTGCTAGCCCAATTTTCTTGGGAGAATATTTGGACTTCTTCCTCTGCTAAGATTTCATTTTCAGCATAATTTAAAATGTTAAGCAATGTAGGGAATAATATAATATAATATAATATAATATAATATAATATAATATAATATAATATAATATAATATAATATAATATAATATAATATAATATAATATAATTAATATATTCTGCTCCTTAAAAGCTAATCACAGGCCATTTCAACTGAATTTGCCTAAAATATGAGGAGATATTAGGAGGGAAAAAGTACTCCTCTTATTTTGAACTGAATTGAAAAATTCAAGGAACATCAACAGGAACATCTCCCTAGGAGACCTTTAGTGAACATCAGACAAAGAACAGCAGTAGAATTTTCATTGCACTCTGTCAGGTGAGGGAAATGAGAGATCAGGACAACAGGTGGAAACCCATAAGTACCTAAAGGATGATGTAGGGAACATAGATTAATATTTGTAATGCTTTGCAAGTGGTTGCAGGTTTTTAATTTTTTTTGTCTCTAATATAGCCTGCAAAGGTTACTGATGACTAAATTTTGTGTGTTCCTCTACACTAAAACTATAAATGTGTTCTTATAGAAAAACTATAGGAATTTCTATATCTCTGAGTTTTGTGAGCAGCTTTCCTCTTCACATTTGTATTGAAGTCTTTCATGACTGGTAGGATTAGTTTCCCTTTTTTGGCTGGGCAAATGCAAACTAATACTAGATTGTGTAGGCAGCTGTGGATTGATACGAATGAATCATCAAAACTCATCAATATCTGCAGATATCTTCTTGACAGCAGTAGAAAACAGCAGGACTGGAGCTGCAGGGCTCTGGAATAATATATTTTTTGCTAGCACCCATGGGAAGGGAAGTACCATTCCCTGGAGTCTAGAGGCAGGAGGAGTCACCTGCATGGAGATGTGTGGCAGCTTTTTCTTTCCATCCCAGCAGAGGAATGCTGAAATAGTGTCTTTCACTGTGATGATAAAGCCAGACTAGTTTTGAAATGAGTGTCTGCTGTCTTCTGCAAATAAGATTGCAGCAGATGGTTTCATTGCTCCCCAGTCCCAATCAGAAATATGAATTCTTCTAAAAACACCGAGGAAACGATAAAAAAGCAGTGCAGGCTTTGTGTGCTGGTGCGAAACTGGCGTAGAGATACCATGGCTAAAAGCAGATGTGTAAGACTTGCCTTTAAAGGGTACCTCATCTGGAGAAATTACATAAATATCTGGGCTTACGATGCAGTTCTGTGCACAAACAAGCACGTGTGCTCTGTCTGAACAGAGCAGAGACCAGCCTGGGTCACAGAAAGAGAGCAAGTCTTATTCTCTGGTACCCCACGTTGGGTTTTAGGAATGTGGAGCTCCATGCCTCAATTTGTTATAAAGTTTTTCCAGGTCTTTCTGCCAGTTCTGTCAATTTATGGACAGGTACTTATACATAGTACTATAGGCCAAAGTATTTGTGCATCTTAAAATATACAGAGAGATGTGCTCTCCCACTCTTGCAGAGAAACTGTGAAAGGATTCCTGAGTGCAGTTATGTCACCACTCTGGTTTTGGGACTGGAATATCCACCGTGGAAAAGTGTTCTCCTGGAAGCAGCAAACAAAGAATGGGTTATCCCCTCCTGCTGCAGCATATCCCCAAGTCCTGGTGCAAGGAGCTGCTTCCCATGTGGACAGTTATGACTCCCTAAACATTTACATGCATATGCACGTGCTCTCTCTGGTTTGTATTTTTTTTCACTTGAGTGTAAAACACAAATCCCCTTCAGGTGTGAAACCTCCATATCCCATCTCTGGTTAGCTGTGTACCTCACTAGCAGCAATCTGAGTGCACAGATGATGGCTTCTTTGACAATGTAGTTGTCCAGCTCCAATTCACTGCTCCTTTTCCCTTGCACTGAATTGCTTGCTAATGCCAATATAACCTCTTCTTCCCCCTCTCTCCATCCTCAATGTAAATTGACTTGCTGCAACCTGCTACTCTCCAGAAATTACAAAGCCTAGGAAGATAATTTGTTGCTGGTGCTGATAGCATCTGTTTATTCTAATGCACCAGTTGAGCTGTGCTGGCCTGCACATGGGGAGAAAATGACCTTCAGTAGAATCACAGATGAAATTCAGCAACTCCCTCGGCAGGTGACAGCCGGGAATCTGAAGACCCTGTTTTCAGGGAGGCAGCAGCCAAAGCTGAGCAGTGCAGAGCAGGGCTGCCACCAGGGAGGCAGAAGAGCTTTTTCAAGAGTAATAAAATATTGGAATATTCACAGTAGATTTGTGGCCTAAAATAAATGCTGTGCACCAGTTTGGTTTTTTTTTTTAGGATGCTCGGATTCCTTGTTTTCATAAGCGTGAAAACTGCTTCTGCTACTTTGCACACCAATGCCCAATTAGACTTCAATGCTGGTGCCTCAAGGAAGGTCTGATTAGGACATTCTTACTTGGAAAATCAGATAAATAAAGAAGATAATAGAGTTTAAACAAAATAATCTATAGGAGTTCAATTGGCTGACTGGTTGTGATAAAATTGATAACAGCGGCACAAAAAGAACCTTCTTTGTATCTTATGAATAAACAGAAGATGAATGTTTTCTCTGGATAATGGAATAATTTTCACTTCATTGGTACTTGGGAGTATATTAATCAGGTTCTAAAGTTACATATGTAAATCTCACTGGGTTTTTCTAACTCCAAATCCTAGAGGTACAAAGCCAAAGAACTCCCTAGGTCTTTATTTTGATTTCTGATAGGAAACACTGGGGAAGTTCCTGGGGCTAAAGAAATCTAAATTTAGATCAATATTTTAAATAGATTGCTATGATTATTAATAATTAACATTAATATTAATTCAAGGACATTCAAGGATATGCAAGGAATACATAAGGTATAACATACTAAAGCAATGTATCACATGAAGAGACATCTAGTACTGTTTTTTTGAAATTAATTATGGTCAGCTTCAGCTGGATTTAAAAAGAAGAAATCTATCTGGTTGATTGTTACAACCAGATTATTATATTATATAATAATTATAAATTATTATTACAGTGTTGATGGAAGAATTCCTGTATGCCTTAAACTTGCTCCCATACATATTCTTCCATAAACTCAAATAGTACAGTACCAAATAAGAAATACCAGATGGATTCCAGCTGTTTCAGTTACAAATTTCAAAGTGGAATTTGTTAAGAGGTTTAAAGTATAAGTACATCAAATAATTGTGATCCTAGTGGGATCCATTTGTTGTACTGAGTTGCTTAAGGGTGTGGCAGTGACTGTAAGAAGGGGTGAACTGTACTCTGCTGGTGTTAGCAGATGACACAAGGACCAGTTTAGCATCATGGATCCTTTGGTAGAATGGAAATAACAAATAATTTCTCTTTTTAGGATCCTACAGGTAAAGGAAATTAAAAATCTGAGATCTATGTACCAGATGGAATAGACTGGGCTGAGAAACAGCAATCTGGAAAATGATTGAAGGCTTGAGTGCATAATTGGCTGGGTGTCATCTCTCACTCCAGTGCTGTGGCCAAATGGTCTAAAGCAAACCTTGGAGCCTTTCTAATGCCTGCTTGATATTCCCTGTCTCTATACTCAGGGATTGCTTTACTCCTGTGTTTGGCATTGGTGCAGCTCCTTTGGGAACACTCCATCCAGCTGTGGTACCCACAATTAAAGATGGATGTTGAAAACCTGGCGATCTTTCAGAGGGGAGCCACAAGCATGACTGGAGGATTGGCAAACGCCTTTCAGTGCAATCCATCCCCTTAGCTTACCAAACAAAAAGTCAAGAGAAGTCTGGTTTTCAAGTATGCTATATAAGGAAGAGAAATTCAGAAACAGGAGCTCCTTTGGGCAATAGTGTAATAAGAATGAGAAGTTGGACGAGTTCATACTGCATATAAGTCTTCAACATTTAGCAGCGGAAACCATTCTTGGAGCAAAAGCCTGGGCTATGATTTATTTCATCATTTGCAATAGAGATTGGATGCTTTTCCCATCAGCTACACTCAGGTTCATGCAGGATATTCATTAAGAGCAGCCTTGCTGATGGCATCCTTTCAGAGGTCAAACCTAGCTTCCCATAGCTGCCCTCTGGCTCTGTTAATTTCCAGATCAGAGTTCTCACTCCAAACTGTTTGTGATCTACAGACACAAAATCCTTCCACATACTAATTCTGCTGTCTGATGCTAAACCCCATTCTTCAGTATCACTGTAGGTCTGGATGAAAAAAGCAAGATGGAATTGGAAGAATTTGTATGTGAGATTTTGTTTGACCATATGAAAAGCTTAGGGACTAATGTTAATTTTAAAATTATTTCTCTGTGTTTACAATTCGCAGGGGGCAGGACACGAGGTTTTGAATGAACAGTTAGACTCAGGCTCCTTTCCTCAAAGGCTTGAAATCATGGTCTGGCAGAAGGATCCACCAACATGTGTGAAATGGACACAGGAGAGCAGGGAAGAGAAGAACCATTTTTCTGGTGCCAGGTCCTAGCCTGATGTTCCCTGTAACAGAGCCTGACCTTGCAGTTCTGATTGCCAGTCAGTCTGGTGCCCTGTGGCCTTGGCTTTCACCCTGCCTTCCTCTCTGAGGAGAGAATTCCTCTTGGGCAGCAAAAAAAAGCACACTGGCTGTGGCACAGTGAGAAATTCTGCCTTTCTGCTGCCCACACTCTGCACGCCCTGTGAGAAGGAAGTCTGCCTGAAATCTTCCCCAGCCCTTAAAAACAGAAACGGGCATGGCACATACCAGTGTTCATTGAATTGGGATTGATTTCTAATATTCTTTGATCAAACCTCAAGTTTGATCATGTTTTCATGATCAAGTTCTCATGTCTGAGCCTTGAATTTGGGTTATTGACGTTTTAGAAAGACTACTTTCTGGTCTGCTTCTCTAGGACCACTCAGAACTCTTCAAATAAAACCAGATCTGTGGTTTTCTCCACTTCCCTACTGGGCTGCTTTGATTTCTAAGCTCTGAGTTTAACAAATAGAGGCCACTTTGCTTCCTCCTACAGAAAAGTATTGTCGCCAGAATGATGTGAGGCAAGGAAATTTTGCTGAAGCCTTGATCTGCAATGTTTTATTTCAAGGGAGGTTTTTTGCTTACTTTCATGTCTATATATAGCTTTCTCCAGGAGCACTTTTATGAGACCCAGACTCTGTTATGATTGAAGTTGATTTTGTATTCCTAGTTTTCCCCTTTTTTATTGGAGAAACTTCCCTACCCAGCTGTGGAAGGGAGCCCAGCACAAAGACCCACAGCTGCTTGTGGACCTGTGCCAGGCTCTCCATGCTGACACCTACACAGGGCTTTCTTTGGGCATCAGAACAGGTTATTCAATTGCTTGTGTAAAGCTGGGCTTTTGAAACCCCATCCCCCAGGAACTCTAAGGGATACTTCCTGTTCATTTTTTCTCTTTAAAGCTCTTTATCAATGTGGTAGATAGAGATGTAGTTCCCTGTTTCATGAGGTATTTGGTATCACGATTGTAAAGTGATATAAATATTTTAGTTATCAGCAGTTGATAGGCATTCAAGATAGGTTGTGGGATGATTACATTTGATATCTTTGTGAAGCAATGGTAAAAATATCATGAATAATATATTTTAAAATATATTCTGTTTTATAAGGAAATTACTTTGGTTTGAATTAGTTGGAAACCTATGGAACAACCTAATAATGAAACTGGAAAGAAAGTTTCCCCTTTTAAATATACCCTCAATATCAGGTCTCCTTAGTCAAGAAAAGATTGCAGTTGAAATTAATTTTGTGAAGATCCAGTCAAAGCAAAAATGACACTGAAATGCATTGTGTTGATTCTTACAAGATAAACATTCTTTCTGGAGCTGTTCTGGAAGGACATTTCACCTGGAACAAGAAAATCAGGTGAGCAAGAATAAAAAAAAGATAGTTTTCTGGATGTTGCAAGTTTTGGTTTTTTTGTAAAATAAATATATTGTATAATTACATTGATGAAAGCCCTGTTTGTATAAGAGTCAGAATAAAGTGATAAATTAACTTATGATTTCCAGTTTTCCAAAAATCAATACCTTTCATATATGTATTTCCCTAAGTTTCCAGAAAAACAAATGAATGCCTGTGTGTTCTCTGGGATAATGTGTTTATCAGGAACTCTATATTCTCCCTTAAAAGATGCCCTGTGTGGTAAATATTACCTCTTCACCCAAAAAGCTCTAATTGCATGTGAGCCTTCCAGCTCCAAGCTGTTCCATTTGTGTGCAGAGAGAAAGGGTGAATCACTGTCTTAATTAAGGTCAGTATGTGATAACTTTGCTATTCTTCCAGCTATTCTCAGCTGGTGAATAAAGAGTTAAAAATAGGACAGAGCGTGTCCTCTTCTGTGGTCTTTACTGCTAGCCCAGCATGTTTATAGAACCTTTCTCAGTGATAGTGTGTTTTGATTAATATTCACATTTCCATGCAGATTTTTTGTTTAAAAGCCCATCTGAACGCAGACCCCATGATCAGTTGAATTGTGTTTGCCAGTACTTCATTGGCAAATCAGGCCTTTGGTCACTGGAAATTCTTTCAGCCTAACTCTGACTTGATTGATCTTCCCATTTTTAGTGTCCCTTGATAGGTTTATTTTATGTTTAACGCACACCACTAGAAATATCTTAAACCAAATCAACTTCTGGGACTCCAGCTAGAACAGTAGTTGAAATTCAGGGTCAGGAACTTATGAGGGAGGGGAGAGAGGAAGGAGGGATGTGGGTTCTACATCAGTGCAGCATTTTCTCCCAAAAACTTGTATGAGCTTCATTGCAGGCCCCAAGGGAAAGAATTTTCTGCTTGGCCTGCAGCAGGGAGTGTTGATGTGTTGGGAGAGGCAGGGTGAGAAAGCAGCTATGTTGTTCTTAGAAAAGCTTCATTGGCAAACAAGCACAATAATTTCGCAAAAGAAAAAAAAGTCTTCCCCAAGAAGGAGAATTTTGCTGACAAGGTGTTAAGAGATGAAATATCTGCTTTTATTTCATTCTGTTCTCTAAAGGGATTTAGAATTTTGCTGTGTAGCTCTTTCATACTAAACTAAGTTTCAAAGTAAATCCAGTTCCTCTGCCAACACAGTTTAAAGGTGCAGCACAGCTCTATTTTCAGAACTTCACCTTGTTTGAAATTTGTTGAATTTGTTGGGTTTTTTCTGGCCTAAAGTGAGAGTGGGTGCTTTGGGTTCTGTAAAAATAGTGGTAACGTGGTTGAATCCTGCAGAAGTCAACCACGGACAGACATTTCTAACATCAGGTTGTGTGTGATTTCCTCCAGGATCAGAAGAGAGATCCCACAAAGGTTCCTTAATGCTGCTTGGAGGCTGATCTCTGCTCTCATCCCTCCATTCCAGTGCCAAAGTCAGTGGGCAGTGCTGGGGACCACCTACTCTCCCTTCTGGTGCTCCAACTGGATCACTAGCACCAGGTTTTTGAGGTATGTTATGGCAATGATGAGCAACAGCTATAAGATTGCTGGAGTGCTTGGATTCAACTTGTTGGTCTGGCCTTTGAGTAGGTCAGGAATGGTTTTGGTGCACATTCCTCCTGAACTGTCTGTCACCATTCCGAGTCTGTCCTGCAGGTATGGATCTGTTTCACAGAGGAGTGAAGGAAAAGGCTGGTTTGTGTCTTCAACTTGTATCAGCATTGAAGCACTTGTAGCTGTTCCCCCACACTGAGTAGGGACACCTCACAAGGCGATGCAAGGGCTGTATTTTATGACCTGAATGCAAAACCTGTATTAGTTTCAACCTGCTCCTGGTAACATGTGCCTAATGCTAAATTATCTCTTTCATGTGGTTTTTGTATTACACGCTAACCTCAGATTGCTTTCATGTGTTCAACTTTCACGAGTTCAAGAGTTTTGCAGGAAGAGCAGTGAAATGTGGTTTTGTCAATCTCTTTAGTTTTTGGGCCAAGCTGGGTTTCCAATGGGCAATTGGAACAGCACCGACTGCCTGGAGGAGCAGGAGTCAGCAGCCTGTGTGGTGCAGGCATGTGTGAGTGCATGTGCATGGAGTTTAACTAGAGGATCCCATTAGGGAAGGACTGTAACGGTGCAGAACAAAGACTAGAACAACCCAGTGACAAGCAGAAAAGGATGGATTGGGAAGTAACCCTACAGAGTCCTTATTTTCTCAATAATGCATGTTTCTAGAGATGTAGATGTGAGCATATAAATGATAGACCTGTCAATGGTTCATGCTGAGCAATGCTGTGCCACAGTAGGGGGCTGGACTGACAGCTTTAGGGCTGCTGGGCTCACTTCTTGCTGGCCTGAATCTGATTTTTAAGCTAGAGCTAATTTTGGATGCCTTGTGAAATATTTAGGATGAGTGGAAATATTTAGGATGGTTATGGAGATAGGGTTGGTACCAGCATGGCAATAGTCATGGGGACTTTTTGCTTGTCATGGTGTCATGTGGATTTCCTGCCTTTAAAGCCAGGTATCCACAGCCCCTAACTCTACCCAGGACCACAGTGGCCTTCCAGAGACCAGCCATGGAAGGGCTGAAGTGGGCAGTGTCCAGGGGTTGTGTTAATGCCCAAGGGGAGGCGGGAGAGGGGAGGCTGCACCGTGGCAGGGCAGTGCAGGGGTTACAGCCAGGCTCAGGGAAGGAGCAGAGGCATTCCAGCGTGCCAGGGATGCTTCTCCCAGACTGCCCCTGGCCCAGGGCTGTCACTGTGATGGATGCCATTGTGTGGGCTGGCAGACATCTTCCTTAGGGGCTGTCTCTTCTGCACAAAAAAACCCCAAACCTCCCCACTCGCAGCACCTGCTTTGTTCCTCCGTGTCACAAGTCCTCCCTGGAGGAAGAGGGACAGCTCCTTCCTGAGTGGGATGATCTCAGCATGAGTCACTTGCAGCAGGATGTGGACCCTGTTTCTTTGGAAGCAGCACCCAACCAGCAGCTGCACAGCTCAGCACGTCCCTGACACAGCTTCTGGAACAGGGCAGGGCACCTTCCAAACCGAAGCATTCAAGGGCAAGGCTTGAGCATGCTCTAATTTTGTGAATGGCTCTCACCAGGGAGCAGGATGTAATGACCAGAAAAGGGTGGGGATGCTGTAGATCCATTTCCCTCACTCTTGGTGTCCAGTTAGTACTCTCAAACAGTTCACTTCTGAGCCTACAGGGAAAACCACAGGAGTAGTGAGCTCTCTATTACAGATATTGGCTGTAACACAAAGGGAGATATTGGTTCATTGATCACTTTGTGGTCTTGGGTCATGTCTCATTAGGGTTTCACAGTGGCTGAGGATTATTCCTGAAAGGTTCATTTGAGTCCCAGCCTTCTTGCTGTGGGAATCTGCCTTGCTCCTGCTTGAGTCTTCTTCTTCATTCCTCATTTTAAATGTATCTCAGGAGATTATCAAATACCTCCTAGACCAACACCTTCCTTTCCTCACGGAGAGGTCTACCCTGCCCTTGAGTCATTGGAAAACACTACCCCAAAGCCATTTGCTTGGGCTGAGTGACATGCTGGGCAGTTAATGAACCAGCACAGCTGTGTCCAAGCATCCCAGCAATGAACACAGGCTAAAATAGAAGCCACAAGCGGGAAACATGCAAACCCTTCCTGTGCCAGAGATGAAATCCAGGGAATGCTGGGCTGGATTGCTGGCTTTTCACGCCTCTCACTAAATAAATCCCAGTCTGCAGTCCACCCATCCGCTCTGTCCAAATTGGTGGCTCCTTAAAAGCTTTATGGAGGCATTTCCATTGGGGCATCTTCCAGCAACAGCAGAAACCCTCATGCAATATCTTTAAGGTAGACACACCTAATTAGGCTGGTTTTTGGAAAGGTTGGTTTGCTACAGGCAAATGACCCATCACAGAGTTTAAATGACCAGCTTGCCCAGTTTTTAACCTCACAAAGATTTTGTTACAGTTAATCCTTTCCTGATGGTCCCTGCACCCTGTTCCAAGTAACTTCAATGATACATTTTAAGTCTATTTAAAAGAAAGGGTGGAGTACTTGTCCCTCTTATTCCAGCAAGGAAACAAATTCAGGCCAGTCAAAAAGTTTCAGTTAACATTGGATGATACTCGACATATGAAGATATTTGGGTTAGTGATCCAAATGTGGTGAGTGGAAGAAAGTTGTCTAGCTTTAATCAACATTTTTGCAATGCTGGATGCAGAAGTGGGAGCAGTAGTTACTATGTAGCTAGTTCTCATAATTTTATTCTGAATTTTGCAGTGATGCAAAAGAAAGAAAAAAAAGAAAGAAAAAAAAGAAAGAAAAATCTGTTAATATCTAAGTTGAGTTCTCATATGAAACCAAACAACTCCCCCCAAAACAATCCATAATGTGTTTCTGGTCCTTACACTTACGTAGAATATGACCCATGTACACCCCAAAGTAAAATAAAAATACCTCACCTCTTACAGTTTCTGAGTCAAGCCCTGTACACTCATATTCCACTTTTTAACTTTTTGAGGTGTTGGCATTTCTGCAGTTATAAGTCAAAGGCTGCCCTGAAGCAGCGATTTGATCTCCCTTGCCTGAGCTTGCCCCACGAAAGCCTATCAGTAATAAATATTATCCCAAGTGACTGTGGTGTAAGTAATGGCATTCCTTGCCCAAAGATCACCCCCCAGAAATCACTCTGTTCATGTTTGGAAAGAGCTGTTAGGGAGAAAGGTGCAAATGACTCTTGCCTCCGCTCATAATGTCAGATACAGATCACCTGGACACCAAGAAGAACACAGACCCAGCAGGACCCAAGCAATTTCCAGTTCCTGATGTCTGCCCCTGTTTTTCTGGTGAAGCCCATGTCTGAGACTGTGCTCAAACCACCCTCTCCTCCCTTTTCTATAAGTAAGTGTGTGGTGCCTTCCTCTCTTTTGGCATGGCAGCCCAGGCCAGCTGTGCACAGATGTGCACCTTCCCAGCTGCCACAAGGCCAAGCTCACTCTAAGCAAGGATTGATGCCTTGGCCCTGAGCTTGTCCAGCAGCCACCAACAGGGAGAGATGTGCAGGACATCAGACCCTGCAGTTAAGGTCTTCATGACTTGAATCCCTGCTTCCACCAGCACCATCACTCCAGCATCCTCCTGAAGAGGCATCCACAGTACTGTGGGATAAGCCCAGGCCCTCCCTCCTTCACTGCCCACGGGAGCTGAGTGTCACTGGTGATCCTATGAAGAAAGAATGAGTCTCCTTTCTTCCTTCTTTTGTGTGCAAATACAAGTGGTGGAGAGGTGTGAGGATTTGGAAACACGCTGCTTCATCAGTATTTTTAATTAAGCATTTTAGGCTTTGCTGTAAAATATGATGGATTTCTTCAATAATGATTACACTGGGGAAAAACAGCTTCATCTGAGTTGCATAAGACTTGCTTTATCCAGGCATGTGGTTTTATAAGAGCTTAAATGTGATTATCTAGGAAAGACCACAAGCTTTTTGTTTTAGTGATAAGAAGGGTCAAAAAAAAATTAAAGGAAACACAAGCCATAAACCCCTCTCTGAAGGCTGTTTTGTTCCACCACAGTACACTAGTGATTCTCCCTGGAACCAGCATGCGGTTCCCTTATCTTGTGGTGGGGAGATAGACAGTCCCTGGGGAAAGCAGTAAACTGCCTGAGTCTTTGAGTCAAGGAATGGAAAACACAGTGTGATTCTCAGAGTCCCTGTCCCTAATCCATCCTTAAATGTTCCCATAGTTCTGTGCAGTTTGAATTCCCTTAATTACGTGATGGATTTACAGTTTAACATTTCAGATATAATTACCTCTTATCGAAAACAAAGGAGACACGTGCCAGTCTGAAAGAGTAAAGACATAGCCCTGAGGAAAGGGATTATTTCATCTTGTCTTTTCCCCTCACACATGCACATGCAGATATTTCTACACGAGTCCCTCTATACCTACTTGTTAATGCATTCCTTGTTCCTTGGCTTCCACAGCTGCTCTTTCTTCATGCATCTGGAAAGTGGTTGAAAATCCTTTGATTGATTAAGTTCATGGTCATCATCATAGGCTCAGGTACTAACAAAGGTCCATCTATTTGAACTTTGATATATGTGGCAAAACTAAAATAAGGCGTTTAACCCTTCCCAAGGTTTGGACAACTGGGAACCTACTGGGCATTAGGTAAGAGCACCAGGGCACTCACTGAAATAGCTGTACCTGGTTCATAGAGTGTAAAGTTCTTCACATGAATGCTAGATGTGTGAGGTACTAAATCTCATTTGTTAAATCCTCTCTTTGGAATCTGTTTTGCATTTAGGACAGGCAATGCGTCTGTAGGATCTTTCATAGCTTGCTTATTCTCTCACTGGAAATATCTTGAGTTACTCTTAGGACCTGGCTGTTAAAGGAATTGATTGCAAATGGGAGCAGGGCTGGACTCCAAATTTTGTTTGCATTTAGACATTTTTATGAAAACTATTTATTTATTACTGTCCAGTCAAACCATTTGAGTCCACTCCTAAACATAAACATGATGACTAATGCCCTTTGCTACAGGTGGACATCACTAAGTTTAGACCACGAATAGTGAAAATTAATTAAAAAAAAAAAAAAAAAAGTAAAAGGTACCTTTTAAGGTAAAGAGTGCTGGTACAACTGAGAGATACTGAGACAAGGGGCAGTGAGGTGTGTTTGTGTGAATGTAGACACATAGTCAGCTTTGGAAAATGACACTGAAGAATTATCTCCATTACAGCAGGGTGGTGCCATTTCTCATATCAGCCTCATTCATCTCTCTGTGTCCTGTGCCAGGAATAAAAGGTTGTGATGATCAGTGACACAGAAACAGCTACCTGATGGTCCTGTTGTGTACACACCGGAGATGTTGCCCTGGAGACCATATGGCAGCAAGGGCAGTGTTCCTCTTTTCATCCAGATGCTGGGAGTTGCTTGGAGGAGCCTGTCCATCAGGGAGGTTAATTGGGGGCTTCATCAGCACTGGCCCTCCTTGCTATGTGGCTTCTTGCTGCCCCTGCAGAGCTCCTAGAGGGGAACAACACCAAAAGTTACCAAAATACCCCAGGAGCAGAGGAAAGCTGGGCTTTGGGCACTGCTTTTTGCTTTCAGCCATGTGTGGCTGTGCAAGTCACCCAGGAGTGAGGTCACTAAATCCTCATGGGGGTCTAAGCCTCTTCTGCCTGTTTGGAGCCCTCTGCCCTGCTTACCAAGGTGGTGTCAGAGGGCTGCCTTGGCACAGCCTGTGGTACTCCAACAGGGATTAATCCCACTGAATGTGGACATGGCAACGCCTACACCTGAGCTGTCTAGACATCCCTTCTAACAAGCAAAAAGCAAGAGGTGTGGCTAGGGGCTGAGTCATTTTAACCTGACAGCCCAAACAAGCTTGCCTAATCTGTCCTAAAAAGATGCCTGTTCTTTTCCAGCAGCTGCACCACGAGCCCAGAGTGCTCAGGTTGGCTGGAGATCCTGCACTGTAAGGCAAGCTGAATCCCTCTCCCTGTTTTTGTGCTGGCTGTGGCCATGTTAAGCATCAACAGATGAAAAGGTCATTTTTTTATGTATTGGTCTCTGTGTCTTCCAGGTCTTCTGCTGTTTCTGGGGTTGAGAAAGGAACATCCAGCTATCAAGTCAGTGCCCCATCTTGAATTTTTATATATCCCTCTTCATCTTATAATGTACAATAACTGTACACCTGGAGGTGTATCTCAGTGTGGTCAGTACATCCAGCTGGGCACAGTGCTGAGCAAAGACTGTATCTCCTCTCCCTAGGAAGTCAGACCCTACTGACAGCTACCATCAGCTGCACACAAAGTCCCCAAATATCTTGGTGTCTCCTTTGCCCAAGCATGAGATCATTACCTGTTGTGTGAGGGTAAGTTGGGTGTCTTAGTGAAGAAAAGCCCACAGGACCAGACTTCAATAAAGAGGTGAGATTCTACGTGACTTTTAAGTGTGTGGCTGGTAGTCTGCTAGCTGTTCTCCAGTTCTTGGCTGTTTCCAGATCCTGGTGTTAGGTACAGGATTCAGCAGGAGCTCTAGCAGCCAGTCCATCAGAGCAGCAGTGTATAGATCAAGAGATGGATGCAAGGAGTCATCAAGGGTGAAGAGCTGGCTTTAGGAGTTTGCACCCATCTGAAACCTGTCCATCGTTTGAGATATTAAGCCATTTTCTGGGCTTCTCATCATTATGTTGTGCTCTTTCTTTCCATCGAGTTTGTATAAAGAAGAAGCCTTTGGGGTAGAACTTTTCTGCCTTTGACACTCCCAACTATTCATGCAAGTTTATATTTGTTGTTGTTGAGTAACCAGTAATAAATAATGTTTTGGTCATGACTCTTAAAATGGGCTGGTGAACCTCAAAGCGTCTCTGAGTTGTCTGCACCATGAGGGCCATTCCTCCTGATTTGGAATTAGGTGAAGCACTGACATTCTAGGGCATTTTACAGTGAGACCAAACAACCAAAAATTTGTGGTCTATTGTATTTAGGGGGATGTAGCATTCCCTAAACAGAAGTCCTGCAGGTCTGGATGTAAACAAATTAATAAAGTCCTGAACAGTCTAAAAGAAAATACCTCCTTCATCCAAAAAATATGAGTTAGAAAGGAGATTGTTGCTTTGTGCCTCCTGCTTCAGTTTAGAGTTGATCAAGCAACTTCCTTCTACAAAGAAAGTATTTCTGTAAGTGACAGAAGAAAAATATTGCAGAGAAAAAAAAAATAGCTCTTGAATTCCAAAAATACTGTCTCCTTTCAAAGTAAGATTTATATGCAAGAAGACAATCTCTTTTACAGAGTTTTTCCTGTCACTTGGAGTCCACTCACTGGAAACAAGCGTACAGTTTAAAAATATATTGGAAGAGCAGCTTGGACACAGAGAAAGGAATGACCTGTAGTCCTATAAAACAGAGAAGCTTTTCAGTAGCTTGGGGCTTGGAACAAGAAGCTAAAAGTTATGTAACACCAGTAACATTTGGGGTATTCTTGTTACCTAAAAAATAACCATTCTTGGCTTCTCACATTAATATCTCTGCTCAGGGATTACGTTAACTGTTTTGTGGGGAAGCTGGATGGAAATCTGCAGCTGTGGTGGTGAGTTTTCTTCAATGTGTAAAGGGTTGGGATGAGTGGTTGGGTTATTTGAGGGCTGGTGTTCCTGAGCCCTCTTTGTCTGGAATCCAGACAAGCCTTCCTGTTGAGAAACACTGTCCTACTTCTTCACTGCAAGACAAACAATGGAACAGATCCTGCTCCAGCAGGACAGTGGAAGTAGTAAACTGTTTCCAGATAGTGCTACAACCATGAAGTGGAGTTATCAAAGCAAAGGTAGCACCTCCTTTCTTGCTGTCCTCAGTTTTATTAACGTAGTTTTGGTTCTTGCAAAATTCTAAGAGATGCTGTGCAGGTCTTTTGCAAGGGAAAATTTGGATGCCCATGTGCACCTCCAAGATGGAAACAATGGGTACCACTAGCTCTATTCAAGGACACAACTTCAGTTTCATCATGAGTGGAAAGTATGTGGGAATGCTTAATAGCTTTTCCTAGAACAAAACAATAACCTAAACAAATTGTCCCCCTTCAAAAAAACCCCCATCAAAACCCAAGCAACAACCCAGTAAAAAAACCCAAAAAACCCCCAACCAAACAACAAAACAAATAGAGGCATATGTGTTTCATTCAAAAAAAAACCCAAAAACAAACCCAAGCCCAGATTTAAATATATATATATATGTGTATATATATATATATATATATATATATATATATATATCATCTTTGGAACAGGATAGAGCAAGGACTTGTTTGTCACGCAGTATGGCAGCCCAGCAGTGCCTGGCAATGACTTTGCTGCTTCGGTGAGCTGGTAAAGTCTCAGCCATGCTCTGAGGAACTCTCTGCTGTGTCCCTTAGCAAGCACTGTCTAGGAAATGGGCAAAAAGGTGCAGAAGATGTTTTGTGACACCTTTGAAACTGATAACTTGTGTCTATAAGTTGAGCTGCTTTTTGGAACTGTGTCCAGGTTGTCATGGGCTGCTTAAGAAACCCCAAAATCCCACAGTACCCCCAGTGGTTCTCCCTTTGTTCCAGCACAGATGTCCTGCACAGAGGCAAAACCAGATGGATTCGCCTTCAGTGGCTTTTGGTTTTATTTTTCCTTTTGTTTTTATTCTTTATGGTATTCAAACAGCACAGGCTTTTTGTCTCCTGTCCCTTATACAGCCTTGTGACCATTTAAAGGGGTCCACAGACTGTCCATATAAAAGCATGTGTTGTACATAGAGCCCATGTGCTCTACTGATGACTAGATGGGCTATTACATCTACATTTAATAATTGTATCACATGCCTAGTTTTCTCTGTGTGAAAAGCATAGAGGTACCTATCAGCAGATATAAATGCCTATTAAAAGGCTGTGATGTGGTAGAAGGGCTCTTAGCAGGAGATGTGTGGGAAGTAATCTTTGTTATGGCTGTACCAACCTTAACTAGCCCAACTGTGATGATCCCAAGCTGAAGAAACCTTTGTACCACACAGTATTTTCCAGTTAATTATATATATTTGTGCATCTGGGTGTGTGTGTGTGGATAAGTGAGATCATCCATTCCTGTGAGAGTTTTTTTATCCTATCCAGAACATTTTTCCTCTCACTAACTCTTTTCCAGGAGCACAACAACAACAATAGGGCCAAGGGCCTTCCCTTTCATCTGGCATCTGCAGTCCAGTGTCTGCACTGGAGTGTGGGCTCTCCAAGCCAAATCCAGGGACTGCTCCAGCTTCAGTCTGCTGCATTTCCAAGCTCAGATAACACGGGATGTTTTCAGGCCAGCCTGGCTGCTGGCCAGGTTCTTGCCAGAAGTGGGAAATGGGAACCAGGAAAACAAATACTTTTTTAGTTTGCATGTGTCTGAATATGAGGGAAAAATGAGAGACAAAAACTCTAGATTTTGAGCCATCTGGCATCCCTTAGTGATGTGCAATCAAGGGTCTAGCTCACCTTAATTCAAACAGGTTTGTTCTAAAGTTGTATTTGAAAAATTCTATTTTAGTACTTACTTAGAAGTCTAGGAATTAGTTTTGGTTGATTTTATAAGGTCGGTTGATCTGTGTAGCATTTTTTCTTTTTGAAAATGGCCTTCTTATTTTCTCCTTCCCGTATTTTCTTGGATCAGAAGGTTCACTGAGATGCCAAACTATGGCTGGCTACAGCTTCAGCACATCTTGTAACAAGGCAGGCCATGACATGCCAGAGTGGTGGAGCGTGGTGTGTACAGTCCAGGAAAGATGTGACAGATTAACACTGTTGATAATGTTCACCACTCCGGATCTTCTACTAAAATCCCCTTCCTCCAGGTAGTTTAACTCTTGAGACACTGATAAAATGAGCACCTGAAGGAAGCAGATGCCTACAGACACCCACCATGAGAGCAATATTTCTTAAGTGTAGAGCTGGGCAAGAGTAGAAATAGGAGTTACCCTTTCCTAGCAGTGGAAGCATCATTTCTGCCCAGTTTCTGTGTAATTTCAGGCACTGTGCTGAAATTGGCTGGGAGCTGCATTCTGTCCCTGCTTCCACAAGGAGTATGAGGAACGCTGAGCAGCACCACCACAGCTGCTTTCTCTTCAACATTAAGTTTTGACAGCCCCAAAGTTCATCCCCCTGCCCTTGGTCAGGAAGGGCATTCATAGTCCTCCCACTCTTGCCATTCATCATCTCCCCCTTGTAAGGTGCCATGTACCAGTGAGATCCCACAGCCCTGACCTACAGGCCAGCCCACAGGGGAAGGAGGCAAGCTGGATTATGAGATTGTGAGTTCTTAACCTGCAGGAAGAGGGTTGTGCAGGGGGGTTATTGCTGAGTACAATGCACCCTTCCAAAGGAAGCTGCACTCCTGTCCAATGAAGTCTTTACCTTGTGAGAGGCAATGAAAGCTGATTGCTGTACTCATCAGGCTGATGGCTTCATTTGGATTCTCTTTCACTCCCCAAATGTTGATAACATCAATCTGGATAGAAGGAGAGACTGTAGAGATGGTCTGATTATCAGGATTATTCAACTGCCCTAGAGGACTGATCTTCCTCCTGCTCACCTGATCCAGTAGCAGGGCTCTCTTGGTGTGAAGCTTCATTCCTGTTTTTACAAAAGGAGATATAAGCAGTTTCCAAAATCTGGATATGAAGTACACTTACAGCTCTCCCTTCTTTAAAATAACTATTGGGGGAAAGGAAAGGAAAGGAAAGGAAAGGAAAGGAAAGGAAAGGAAAGGAAAGGAAAGGAAAGGAAAGGAAAGGAAAGGAAAGGAAAGGAAAGGAAAGGAAAGGAGAAAGGAAAGGAGAAAGGAAAGGAGAAAGGAAAGGAAAAAGGAAAGAGACAATGATCATTACTGTGTAAAAATAAAAATCTCCAGGATACCTTGGACTTGGGTTAGAAAGACAGTGTTTCTCCATGTAGCATTGAAGAGGCTCAGGCCAGGCTCTAG